CTTTATAAATACTATATTAGTTTAATAAACTTTTACCTCAAGTTCTTAAAAATGCCCCTCAACTCAAAATACGCCTTGTAAGCTTCCACTTAAGCCTATTGGTCCAAACACCTTTTGGTCTAATGACTCAATAATTAAATGTACCATAAAAATAAGTAGGTCGGGTATTTTAGGGAGGCATACATTAGAAAACTATGTCCTAAGTTACCCCTATCAGTTTAGGAAGCTTGTTTCTATTTTAGAAAACTTAGGAAACTGATTTTCAAATTAGGAAACTATTTTTAAAATTCTTTTAGTGCTTAATAAATTGAAATCAATCATTTCAATTCTCATTTTTCTTTCATATTCCCTCGCTTCTCTTTATCCTTGTCAATGTCAAGCTATTCGTGTGATTCAATAGGCTTTTAAATATACGAGCAATATATCAAGAAGCAAAAGATAATTCTTTTATCTTTTGATATATAAATCAAGATTGACCTATAGCAAGACATTATGACTATCCAATTATTTAGAAGGATTTCTTAATTCGCAATAACCTTTCATGAGTATGGTTTCTATATAATTTAGTCCTCATGTCAATTTATCATAGTGTGATCTTGAATTTGGTTTGGTGTCTATTTGATTATGATCACATAAGTTTTTTTTCGATCTTCAAATATCTTAGCCCTTAAGTAAACCAATCATGCTTTATTGGTATATTTTTATTCGGCTATAAATTCTTGAGCAAACATTAATTGAAGTTTAATGTGATAACTTCTTTATTATATAAAAAATGATATGTCATATCTTAGTTAGCCACCTATGTTTATTAGATTCCCGATGTACCCTACGAATCATCCATATACGACTTTTTATTGAGTCTATCGAAAAAAATATCAAAGTACACTAATCCTCTAATGAGATAACTAGAATAACTTTAAGTCAAATGACTACTTGTACATATCTCGTATGAGATTTCCTTCGACTAAATCAAATAGGTTTTCATGACGAGTCACATCCGGTGATATGTTCTCTAACATTATTCATATGTGTGCTTGTTTTGTCATCATCATGTTAATAGGTGTAAGATCTCCTACTCGCTATTTTATATAAAAAAAATAACACACATAAGTCTTAATGCATTTGTCAATATCTAATTTTAATAATGCTATGACTAGGAAGATTTAATGATATTATTTAAATGCATTGTTTTTTTTTTTTACATCTATTGATCAATCATCAAGGCAATGAATATCATATGGACTTTTATCTAATTCTATCAAGTTATAAATAACATGAATTAATAAAAAGATTTTTTTATTAATAAAAATAAAACAATATAATATTCAAACCATCCAAACAGAGTTAGATCTTGAGCACCTATACTAACAATCTTTCACTTACACTAAAGCCAACCAAACATGTCCCTAATGCCCAAAGATCAAACAAGGATTTTTTGTTTTTGCTGTGACAAATGCTTAGTCAAAGGCTCTGCTATGTTATTATCGATGTGTACCTTTTCTATCCTTGTATCACCATGATCGATAATCTCTCTAATCGGATGGTAATGTTATAGTACATATTTGGATCATTGATGAGACCTTAGTTCCTTAGCTTAGCTATGATGTCGTTGTTGTCACAATACAATACTATGGGATCAATATTGCTTAGAAAAACTTATAGTCTAGACAAAAACTTACAAATCCATATAGCTTCATTAGCTACTTCTATGACTATAATGTATTTAGCCTCGGTTGTTGAGTCGATTATTATTTCTTACTCGAACTTTTCTAGCTTATAGCACCACTCGTTCAATAAGAAAATGAATCCCGATTATGACTTAAAATCATCATGATCGGTTTAAAAACTAACATAAGTGAATCCTTTCACAACTAGTTCATCTCTTACATAGACTAAGAAAACATATTTAGTTCTTCTTAAGTATTTAAGAATGCTCTTAAGCATATGAGACATCAAGCCGCGTACATAGCATCTCTCGTTTTGTGAAAAATCAAACTTTTTGATCGTTTCATCAAAATCTTGATTCCAACTCCTTTATGCTTGTTTTAAGTCTATAAATAAATCTTTACAACTTGTAAATCTTATTTGCATGTCTTTTGATGACAATACCATTAGGCTATGTCATGTACATATCATCATGTAAATGTCCATTAAGGAAAGTCTGTTTTAACATCCATTTATGATATCTCATAATCATGATATGTAGTAATTGCATGCATAATCCTAATGGATTTAAACATAGCTACTAGTGAAAAGGTCTCATCAAAATCAATATCTTATTTTTGATGATAGCCTTTTTCCCCTAGTCCGGCTTTGCACGCATCGTAGGGCAACGTTAGAGGCGAGGACGACAATTTTGGGAAAAAATGGAAAAATGGGCAAAAAATGACTAGAGTCACCACTTAATATTATGGTTACTAGGAAACCTTATGAGTGGTCCGTCCGGAGTTCGGGATAAGGGGTTTATTATGTGCATGGAAGATTAAAAATTGCCCTACTCCGTCTTGCTTGAGGCAAGTCGTACTATATACAATGTTAATTCGATTTTTGATTTTTTCTTATGATGGAAGACTACCTATTTTCAAGCATTTGCCCACTAGTCGAGTGATTTGAGACTTGGTCGGTTAGAGACCTTGTCCTCACTTTGTAATGGATGGCTAAAAATAATGAATGCAAGGATGTGCTTGCTAATGCAACTTGGACAACGTGCATGAATTTTTTTAAAAAATAATAGAAAAATAGGCAAACATATAAAATAGGCGAGATAAGCGAAATCGATAAATAAGTAAATAGGCAAAATTGAAAAAAATGAACGAGACAAGAAAACAATGGCCAAATCAATAAATTAGCAAAATCGACAAATAGAAAAAAATCGATAAAAATAGATAAATAAGCAATTAGGAAAAAATCGACAAATAGGAAAAATTGATAAATAGACAATTAGATAAAAATAAACAAATAGGTAAAAATTGGCAAATTGGCAAAATTGATAAATTGATAAATAGGAAAAATAGATAATTATGCAAATTAGCAAAATTGACAAATTAATAAAGTCAAAAAATAGTCAAATAGGCAATTAAGCAAAATCGACGAAACGAGTAAATAGGCGATTGGGTAAAATAGGCAAGATTGATAAAATCAGCAAATTGACAAATATGTAAATTACTAAAATCAACAAACAAGCAAGTAGACAATTAGGCAAGATAGGTAAAAATCAACAAATTAGAACAATCGACAAACATGTAAATGGGCCAATAGGTAAAATCAATAAAATGAAAAAAATAACAAAAATTGACAAATTGGAAAATGGGCAATTAGGCAAAATAGGCATATTGACAAAATCAAAAATAGGCAATTTGACGAAATAGCAAATAGGTAAAATCGATAACATCGACAAATTGGCAAATTGATGAAATCGACAAATTGACAAAATTGATAAATTGGTAAAATAATTTCGGAACCACCAACAGCCTTCATCACGAAGTGGAAAGCCACCGACAACTTCATTATACATTGCAATCAATCATGGATAGTCAACTAAATCACATAAGTAGCACAAACTTCACATTTACACGAGCGGGCATAATAACAAGAAAACAAGGTATTTTGTCCTTTAACGGATATTACGAGTAATATTTCTCTTTTTTAACCGCATTTAATCCATAAATGTAAAGCCAACTATCATAATTTTAATTACATTCCACACACACTAGTCATTTTTAACCTTTTAACATATTTTCGAAGTACCATTGTTTCGGGATTTTTATCCAAGAGTCTTGAAATGTTAATGTTCAATTTAGAATTATTCTTACCCTTTTGGTTCCTAATGATAATCGATTATTCGATTAGCCGGGAAAGGAGACTAATTATTGTTGGGCAATGAGTGCAAATACCGTAAGGGTGGCCAAAAGATCTTCCTTTACTTAGCTTCAAAATTTATAGAGTTACTGCTTGTAGAGTTACGAGTTCCTAAAAACTCAAGGTGACTTTTGTTGCTTATTCTACTATTAAAAATCAAGCAAATATAGTTTACGAGTATCATATTGTCCTACCAACATAATCCAACACAAGAACCTTTTTTAGTCTTTTCTTTTAATTTTTTTCAATAGCTCCAAAAGTGTTAAGAGGTCGTTTGGAGAGAGATTTTATGGTTGTCTTGGTGGAGGTTTTAGGGTGGGTTTCGGGTTGTTTTAAATCTGGTTTGGGTTGTTTTTAAGGCTACTTTGGTGGTTCAAATAGGTTATCCGAAGGGGTTTCTTTGTAAGGGTTTTTGAGGGTTATTAGTAATAGTTGTAGGGCTGATTTTAGAGGGTTCTTTTAGTGTGTTTTTCAAGTCTATTTTGGAGCTAGTTTTGGAGGGTTTTGGTGTGCTTTTTAGGTCAGCTTCAAGGGGTTATTGATGTGTTATAGTAGGGTCGGGATGGGCTAGAGAGGGCTGAAGTAAGCTTGATCTTACGTGGGAAAAGACTCGATAACGGAGGCTTGGTGATAGGAAAAAAGGTAGTGTGAGTAAAGGTGTGTAGCGTGTATGGGCCGGGCGAGAGAAAAAGGACAATAGGTTGGCTATGGTGAGGGAGCTTGGTTATTGTGTTGGGCGAGATGAGGCTGGTCTGTAGGAGAGGTATAGGCGAGAGGAAAAGGGGCTAAGGGTGTTAGTGTGAGGAGGGGCTTGCAATGGCCGATGGAGTGAGCGAGTTATGGTGTTTGGTTGAGGTTGGTTGAGCAAGGAAGAGAGAGCAAGAATGGGAAGGTCGTGGCATGAGGCTAGTGCTAGAGGTGTGGGCTAAAGGAAGAGAGTCTGGTCGGCTTGTGGTTTAGGCGAAGGAGAGGAATGGTGAGAGGGTTGTGAGGCTGGTGTGAGTGGGGCTCGTTCGAGTGAGAGGGAATTTCGTGTAGGGTGACGGAGGGCTAGTCGTGCGACTTATGACGTGAGGGGTGAGGATGGTTAGTCGTTGTGTGGCGTATGAGAGCTTGGTGTGTGGCGTGTGGGTGTGAGACATATGCACGAGGAAGCTATAGGTATGGTAAGTAGTGCGGGTGTGATGGAGGAGTCCGGCATGCTCGAGGGCCGGTTGTGCGAGTCGGCGGCTACGCGAAGGAGGCTTGGCTATATGAGGCGAAAAGGGCTGCAATTCGTTGCATGGAGGTGTAGTGCGGTGGGCAACAACCGGCATACGTGAGAGTTACGAGTGGGAGCTCGTTGTGTTGTGGGATTGTTTATAGGGATGGCTGGCGGATTGGTGTTTCGGGTTAGGGAGGAAATGACATCATGTGGTTTTATGAGGTGGGAGCTTTAAGTTGCGGTAGTTGGAGAGAGAGGTGACTGAAAAAAAAAATTTTCTTAAAAAATGAGAGAGATGAATAGTAGCTTCCCCGATTTAGAGCAAAGGTTGTCTTTATACTCGGTCATTTAGGGTTTTTTTGGCTAAAATTTGGTTTGATCTCTCATTTTACAAATTCATTTTATTTTGATCCTTTTCTCCTTTTTCCTTTTAATTGCATCCCCATTTTTTTTTTTTTTGAAAAAATTTAGGTGCTAACGGTACGTATGTATATTTTCATCCATGTCAATCTTTCTCTTAAAGACCCGCTTATACCTAATAGGTCCGACACCTTCGAGTGGATCTACCAAAGTCCATACTTAGTTATTTTACATAGATTCTATTTTAAATTCCATGGCTTCATGCCATTTCTTGGAGTTAATAACTAATATTACTTCTTCATAGTTATTAAGTTCGTCATCCTCAATAGGAGACACATTATCATGTCTAGAGATAAGAAAGCCATATCTTTCTAGTTGTTGACAAATCTATTTAGACCTATGGTTTTCTTGTGTTTCGTTTGTGGGATTACAATACTTTGTAATCTATCTATTTGGGGTTCTACGAGAGGATTGTTAATTTATGAGTTAGCTCGAATCTCATCAAGTTTAACTTTCTTGTTACTCGGTTTTAGGATTTATAAATTACTTCTCAAGAAATACAACATGATTAACCACGAACACCTTTTGTTCTTGTAGTTGGTAAAAGTAATATCCATTTGTTTCTTTTGAATATTCCATAAATTTGTATTTCATTGATGTGGGCTCTAGCTTGTCTCTGTTTAAACGTTTGATATATGCTTCACAACCCTAAATCTTAAGAAATGATATATTTGCTTTCTTTCCTTTTCATATCTCATATGGAGTCCGATCACCGGACTTCATAAAAACCTTATTCAAAATAAAAGTTATAGTAAGGAATGCATATCCTCAAAATGAAATGGAGATATCGGTAAGACTCATCATAGATCAAACCATGTCTAAAACTGTCATATTCTTTCTTTCGGACACACCATTCATTTGTGGCCTTCTAGATAGAGTTTATTGTGAGAGAATCTTATTTTCTTTCAAGTGATTTAAAAATTTATCGCTCAATTATTAACCAACTTGATCGGATCGAGTGCCTTAATACTATTTTTGATTTGTTTCTTGACTTCAAATATAAATTCTTTGAACTTTTCAAAAGTTTTAGATTTATGTCTTATTAGATATACATAATCAAAATGTGATATATCATTAATAAAGGTTATGAAGTAATCATGTTCTTCTCTTACTTGAGTGGACATGGGCATACATACATCGGTATGTACAAGGCTTAACAAGTCAGCAACCCTTTCTTCTTTTCTAGTAAAAAGGGATTTTGATATTTTACCAAGTAAACAAGATTCACGGACATCATAAGATTCATAATCAAATGATTCTAGATATCTATTTTTATGAAGTTTGGATATGCGATTCTCATTTATATAGCCAATTTGACGATGCCATAGATATATTTTTTTAGGTCATTTGATTTGAGTCTTTTGGCATTTATGTTATATATAGGTGCATCGATATTTAAAACATGCAAACCATTATTAACTATAAAATTTCCATATAAAACTTTATCTTTATAAAAAGAACAACTATTATTCTCAAATCAAAATGAAAAACCATCTTAATCCAAATAAGAAATAACAATAATATTTCTAGTAATACTAGGAATGTAATAATAGTTTTTAGGTTTAAGCACAAGTCCAAATGCTAGTGCCTATAACTAATGGTACAACTCTTGAGCTATTATCAACGTGTAACCTCTCTTGAAGCAATCTTTCTTGATTTTTTAAGTCCTTGCACATTTAGACAAATATGACCATCACATGTACTATCAAATACTAAAAAAATTAATTTCAATAACATAAATACCGAAGTGCTAGAAGAACTTTTTTTTTCACCTCTGCTAGGCACTTCTTATAGTTGCACTTCCAATGCTTTTTCTTATTGCAATGAAAGCTAACTTCACCTTTTTGCCTATTTTGAGCCTTGACCTTTTTAACCCTCTACTAAGTGCGGTGAAAGGCTTCTTCTTTTTTCTTTTTTTTTTTTTAATGTTTGGCCTTTTTTTTGCCTTTCACCTTACCTTTGCCTTTATTAATAAGAAGAACAAAACTCTTGTTCTTCTTATTTATCTCGAACTAAGCTTCCCTAAGCATAGATAGCAATTCTACAAGACTCTTTCTCATGTGCATCATATTAAAATTCATGATGAACTCGTCCAAAACTCGTTAGGTAACAATTGTTATACCGGATCAATAAATAATTATGCATCCATTCTAATTTCAAGCTCGGTTAGCTCGTCAATATAGGTTATCATCTCGGTGACATGCTTTTTAACATTGGATCATTTATCCATTCTAGTTTTAAAGAGCTTATTGTCTATCTCATAACGCTCATACTTAGTATTGTCCTAAAATAGGTTCTTTAACTTTACTATGATATCATAAGCGCTCGTTTCTTTATGATGGTGCCTATGTTTTAATGTCATAGCAACCAGCATGATGCTCTAAACAATGATCACACCATTTTTATGCTTAAGACATGCTGCATAAGCTTTTGCTTGATCTTGATGTGGCTTAGTTCGGAGAGGTGTTCCTATCATATAGAGTATCTTTTCATGTTGGAGGACAAACCATAGATTCATTTTCTAGTTAAGGAAATTTGTGCTATTGACGACATTACTTTCCTCAATGATCAATCATATCGATGTTTTGCTAGTCATACTATGCAATAACTAGATAAGATAGAAAAAAAGTATGGTTTGGTTAGTTGAATTGTACTTTAAAAACAAAAGCATAAATTAAGAAGTGAAAATCAATGTTTGCTCTCATTATTTTTTTTAAATTCTATAACTTTCAATATAGCACTCGAGAAAACTTATTGATCATTTTCCTTAGTGGTTAGGATCTCATCCATAAACATGTACTAACCTTAAGTTATCTCAAAAAGTCATAAATGGAAGGATTAGGTAGGTAACTCGTTTACCAATTGCATCTAATACAATTCCTAATCTCATGGTATGACAACTCCTTGTTGTCTCATGTCTTATGTGAATACCAATATTTTTCTATGAATTTATTGAATCTTGAGTTATCTCAATAAACCTAATAATTCGTTTCAAGTTAGGCCGAAATGTTCGGAGACATTACATGTCCTACGATTTGATTCTCTTGAGGAAAAGCTGACCTTGAGTTATCTTAACAAGTCAATAAAGTCCAAAAGATTTCTCTCCTCATAACGATGGAAGGCAAATAACTTAATATTTACTTAAAAAATTTTATTTTATTAGGTCTCATCATTTGATTGATTAAATTAATCCTATCATGCAAAATAGAGTTTAGTCGCATCAATCTCATAATTAGATCTAGTTAATTTTTATTTTTATCTTATTATAGATGAAAGGATTTTATTGATAAATAAATGAAATATTAGAAAATAAACTTTTGGATACAAATGGATAGAACACAAATACTTCGAAGTGTAAAATAAAATTAATTGAAAACATTCAAAACTCATGTAAGACATAAAATTTGTCTATTTTGAGAAATTATGTCAAAAATATATATTTGAATTTTTTTTTTAGATTTTGAAAATAAAATGAGAATAAAAAATGAGTGAAAATTATGAGTTTAGCCGAGTCAAATCCATCTTTGATATATATTTTTTCTTCCTTAAAAGGCTCGACACATTTAAAGTTTGATGTTTATGCAATTAATTATGTTTGACTAAAATTGGAAGATGAAGCAAATAGTGTAGTTTTCTCAATTCTTCAACTAATCAACTATATGATTCTAACAATGAACTATAATTAAATTAATATATAGTTAGAATTCTCTTTTTGAACAAATAATAATAAGAAGAAGAAAATAAGAATTTTTTTTTAAAAAAATATAGGTTTCTACGTCCAATCAGCACATTTAACACTACAAAAAAAAAAAAAAGAATTAGCGACGGTCTAGACCGTCGCTAATTCGCTAAAATCGGTCGCTAATTTAATTAGCGACGGATTTGCGATGGTCAAAAAACCGTCGGTAAAATGCCGGTCGTTAAACTTTTGTGACGGTTTTCGAACCGTTGCTACTTTAGCAACGGAAACAACCGTTGCAAAATTAAAAAACCGTTGCGGCTTTGTGACAATTTTAGCGAGGGTTTTAGACTATCACTAATATTTAGAATTAGCAACGGTTTAGACCGTCGCTAATTCCGTTGCAAACAAATTAGCAACGGTCTTAGCAACGGTCCGGACCGTTGCTAAAATATTATTTTTTTATCCTCATTTTAAATTGACTAATTGTTAATTTTATCGCAAAAAAATTAGCAACGGTCTAGACCGTCGCTAATTCCGTCGCAAACAAATTAGCAACGGTCCGGACCGTTGCTAAAATATTACTATTTTTTTTATCGTCATTTTAAATTGACTAATTTTTAATTTTATCATAAAAAAAATTAGCAATGGTCTAGACCGTTGCTAAAATATTATTATTAGTATTATTATTTTATCCTCATTTTAAATTGATCAATTGCTAATAACTTATTAACAATTTTCTAAAATAATTAACTTTCCAAAATACCATCAATTAAACTAACTAAATTAATAAATAACATTTAACAATAAACTAACTAAATTAACAATTAAAAATTACCAATTAATAATAAAAATTAACAATTAAATTAACAACAAAAATTAATAACAATAAAATTAATAATTAAACAATTAATAACAATTAAAATTTCTTAACAATTAAAATAACAAAAAACTTTAAAATTAAATTAAGTAAATAATTGAAAAAAATTAAAAAATTAATTAAGAGGTTAGATGAGGGAGGACCTTTCACCAACACAAGGAGGAGAGTGGGTTGCGCGGTGGAGAGGCTTCGTCGGACTATTCTAGGCTGGAAAATGGCCGGTTGAGGAAGGAGGGAGAAAGGAAGAAAGAAAGAGGAAAATGAAGAAGAAAGGGCGAGAGATGGAGGGAAGAAAGGGAAGTAGGAGAGAGAGGAGGAGATTGGAAGGAAAATAAAAAAGAGAGCGGGAAGATTTAATGGAAATGGAAGGGAGATTGGCGCTGGAGAAAAAGAAGAAGAAGAGAGAGAAGAAATTTTTTCTTGTAAATTTTTAGGCAAATAGTTATATAGGAGGTTGAAAGTTTTAGCGATGGTCTAAAAACCGTCGCTAAAACCATCGCTAAATGTCTAAAAAAGTTTTTAAAAATAGTCATTTCCCTCTTAATTAGTAACGGTTTAGCGACGGTCTTTAGACCGTTGCTAATTTACTAATTTTACGATGTTTTTTGGTAAAAAAACCATCACAAAAAAGGCTGAAAGTAATAAAATTTTTTGAAAAAATAGAAATTAGCGACGGTTTTTTTAAAAAAAAACGTCGTAAAAAACCGTCGCTAATTTTCGTGATTAGCAACGGTTTTTTTACAAAAACCATCGCAAAAAATGGTTACAGAAATTTTAAAAAAAATGAATTAGCTACTGTTTTTTTTTTTTGGAGGGAACCGTCGCAAAAAACCGTTGCAAATTTCCACAATTAGCAACGGTTTTTTTACAAAAACCGTCGCAAAAAATGGTTGCAAAATTTTTTTTTAAAAAAATTGAAATTAGCGACGGTTTTTTTCCAAAAAAACCGTTGTTAATTTTCGTGATTAGCAACGGTTTTTTTACAAAAAACCGTCGCAAAAAACCATCGCTAATTCCTCTCGCTAAAAGGCTTCAAACCGTCGCTAATTTCCCCTCGCAAATCCTTTATTTTTTTTGTAGTGTAAGGAGACCAACATTTAGGTGAATAAACTATAAATTAGTCCCTCTCATTTTGAAAATTAAATTAATGAATTCTTATGAAAACTAAATTAATTAATTCTTTTTTTTTTTTTTTTGAAAAACTAATTATTTAGTCTTCATATTTTGAAATCTACTTATAATTTAGTTATTTTTTCTTTTTTTAATTTATTTTGATTTTTTCTTTAAAAATAGAAAAAGAACAAATAAAAAATATTGAAATATTGATGAAAGAGCAAGGGATTTTATAGATGGTCAATACTGATTAAAAGATTAAATAATAATTTTTAAAATGAAATGGGCTAGTTGTTTTATTTTGTAAAATTAGAGGGACTAATTTATAATTTATGAGTAGGTGATATCTAGCGAGAAAATAATTGGTACTAAAATCATAGGCACCCATATATGTATTGATAGAGAGAGACAGAGAGAGACGCAAGGGCAAAATGGAGGAGGCTGATAAGCAACACAAAGTGCTCAGACATTGGAAATTTATTCAACTCTGGATTTGGATGCTCTCTTTCTTTGCAATTTTGTCCTTATGCCAATCTTTCAACTATGATGAAGCTCTCTCAAAAAGTCTCCTCTATTTCGAATCGCAACGTTCTGGCCGGTTACCATACAATCAAAGAGTCACTTGGCGGTACCATTCAGGACTCACCGATGGCCTGGAACAAGGAGTGAGTCCTATATTAATATCCCTCACTTCCCGTATCTATCTATACAAGGATATAAATACATATATCCTTACAGGGTTTGTTTTTTTTACAAGTTTTTTGGTATTGTACGCAGCGTGTTTCACATATGTCTGTATATCACTGTAGAAACTTAATTTGTGCTGAAATATATGTTATTAATTAGGTGGACTTGGTTGGAGGTTACTATGATGCTGGGGACAACGTCAAATTTGGTCTGCCAATGGCATTCACCATAACAATGCTATCATGGTCTGTTATAGAATATAGGGAGCAGATTTCCAAGGCCGGAGAGCTTGAACACGCGCTAGAGGCAATTAAATGGGGAACAGATTATTTCATCAAAGCTCATACTCACCCCAATGTCTTTTGGGCTGAGGTAAGAAGTTCAATTAAGCATTTGAACTTGGAAACGCAAGACAAGAAAGAACATTAAATAAAGCATGCCATTGAGAAATTAATCAATTGCTTTATCTAAACCAGATTTATATAACGGTTAGTTTTAGACAAGTAATGTCAATGATACTAATAAAATGTGGAAAAAATTTCAGGTGGGAGATGGTGACACCGATCATTACTGTTGGCAGCGGCCGGAGGACATGACAACGTCACGGCAAGCCTACAAGGTTGACGAGAACAGCCCGGGATCGGACATAGCGGGAGAGACAGCGGCAGCAATGGCGGCAGCGTCCATTGTGTTTAGGAAAACAATCCCACATTACTCCCACCTACTATTGCACCATGCACAACAAGTAAGTTAATTAATAAGGTTTGTTGTACATGATAGGTGCACTGCACTATCCACCAAAATCACGACGTATATAAGAAATAAATTTTATACTAATGGAAGGTTAGTGTTACCAAAATTAGAGGATTCGTTAAGCTAATTAATTTGAGTTGTATTGCGTAAGAAAAACGTAAAATAATGATGATTGAAGTATGAGTGGTTCGGTTTGTGTTGTCTTGCAGTTGTTTCGGTTTGGTGACAAGCATAGGGGGAAATATGATGAGAGTGTTAAGGTGGCGAAGGGGCACTATACGTCAGTGAGTGGGTACATGGATGAGTTGTTATGGGCAGGTTTATGGCTATACAAGGCCACCGACAATGAAGGTTATTTGAATTACGTGATTGAAAATGCTCATGCTTTTGGTGGGATCACTTGGGCCATAACCGAGTTTAGCTGGGATGTCAAGTATGCCGGTCTGCAACTCATTGCTTCAATGGTACAAATTATACATCTGTCTATCTCTTTCTTTTTCTCTTTTATATACACTCACGTACGGTTGTTTCAATGCTAAAAATATCTAAAATAATGGTTGTTCGTAGTGGTTTACTGATTTGGAATAATTAGGAAAATTAATATCAACAATTTTTCTCCATATAAAAAAAAAAAAAAACTGAACTCATTATTTGCATCCTATATTTTCATTAATTCATTAAAATAATCCATTTATTATCAATTCTATTAATTGAGTATTGCATTTTTTATTTCAATCAATTGAGTATAATTTATCTAAATTGACAACAGTATTTGTCAATGAAGAGGATGCGATGATAATGATATTAATAGGAATGAAAGAAAAATTAATAATGATAAATCATGTATAATGAAGGATAATATCAATTAGTTGAGATAAATTGTTAATTTTAAAAACTTTGATATTCAATTGGTTGAAATGAAAAATACACATATTCAAATGACTGAATTGATAAAAAGTTAATTTCTTTCTTTCTTTCATGAATCCATGAAATTACAAAAAGCTATTTTTTTTTTTCAAAATTTCATTAATTTGGTCACGGGAGCATTTTAACTCGGCTATAATTGTATTGCCTGAACACGTAAATTATTTTTGGTAAGATAACAAACTTTGTTTCCGGGACATAGAAAGAAGGGTGAAGTGAATGAATTAATTAATTTGCCTCCATGTATAATAACGCTTTTTTGTTGATTCATTTGGGGATAAAAGTAGGATTTAAAATCAAAACCTCACAAGTTAATTCTTTATCGGAAGAGTAATACTAGATTAAACACCTATCAACACTCTTAATAAGTATTACTTAACTAGTACTGCTAGAAACTTAAAAATTAAACAAATCTAATCTCTGAGAATGGCTATTTTGACTTCTTTTTTTTTTTTTTTGTAATAGGATTTCTTTTCTTTTTTTTTTTTTTAAAAAAAAATCTTAAATACTTTAAATGAAAGATTTGAACCCATGACTTATGATAAGTATAAAATTTCGCTATTATTAAATCAGAAACCTATTTATTTGTTTTACATATTTCGAGATTAATTAGATAGAGTTGAGTTTTTACATTTAAGTAAATTTATCATGAAGAAATAACGTGAATGTAAAATTTGATAATTTTTTTTCTTAACTAAAGCTTATTTAATGGGAGATTAGTGTAGAACTAAATTTATTGAGACTGATCATAGTGTTAGACTAGCAAAATGACCTTGCTTCCCTGTGGCTGTCCAAACAATTTAGCAAGCAAAGTAGAATTATCATAAATCATGGTCATAATTAACTCTACATAATATTACAATTTACAATTAAATATCAAACAGTTTCACTTAATGTACAATTAATCACTGATCTGTTCCTTACACGTTAAACATATGAAATAAATAAGGTTATAATTAATTATTTTATCAGTAGAGAACAAAAATCAAAATTTAAAAATTCATATTATTTCCTATTACAAGTATTATTATAATACATTATCCGAAGTACTATTACAAAATAAATTATTCATATAAGTAATTAAAGAATATTGCCTTTCCTATATACGGACAGAAATATGCTTATATTATCCCAAATATATTTGAATAATTGATAACAATACTTTGAAATCCAAATTTCTAAGATAGCTTTTGTACGCAATCATTTATTCATATTTTAACACACCATCAACAATATCTTCTTTGATGCATAGAAAATTTTATCACCCAATCTTGTAGTTGACATCCAGCTAGCGTCACCCTAGCTAGGCATTAATTATGAAATAGCCAGGAAGTTAGTCGTAATATATTTATTGGCGAAGGAATCGCTCATTTCGTAGCTATCATAGTTAATAAAAACATAAAAGATTACCATTAATAGTGTTCTTGTCGTCATACGGAAAGCTTCCAATTACTATTGAACTGAATAATTTAAAATCCTTTTTAAAAAATCAAATTTCTTTTTTTGGATGCTTTTTATATGTTCAGAAATAGTACTCACATATACTTGTTGTATATTTAAACAAGCTTGTTAGTTAATATATATATACGACATTTTCTAAAAGAAATCGTTATTTAAACAATCTTGGTGCTTAAACAAAGGCATGAAAGTTGAAATTTAATCCTTCCTAAAAGAAATCGTGAAAAAATATAATTAGTTATTGTATTTTTTATGATTTTATAAGTCAGATATAATTTTATAAATCAAATTTCAGTCATTTAATAAGAGCTAACCATTAATTCTTATGTGATGTTCAAATTCTGGGAAAAATATCTCGAAAAATTTAATAAATTTGTTTTAATGTACCAAGACTATGTGGGAAGTACACCTTTAAAATAATCCAGGAAAAAACTTAATTTTGATTGATGTGTATATTAGCTTGATGATATTCTTTTTGTAGAATTAAATAGTTGAGATTGAGTTTTAACAAAAAGATTTAAACCTTATGGTGGTTGGTTCCTTCATGATTTTGTGAAATATTTTCTCCAACACTCTCTATCACTTGTTTTCTAGCTTTTGAGATTCAGGATTTTTAATAAGTTGTTAGGTCTCTTTAAGGTTTTAATACTATAGAAAGTTAAATGGTTGAGATTGGATTCTACCCAAAAAAAACTTAAAGTGGTCTATTCACAATTTTATATAATACTCATTTTTTATTGAATTATTCAATATGGGATATATAATATGTTCTTTAATACTTACCAACTATATATATATATATATAAGGTCTATTTTGACACTAAAAAAAAAAATTATGATTTAATATACCGATAAATATGCACACAACTAGCTTTTCTGTGTCAGTCTTTCCCCCCCCCCCCCCCCCCCTCTTATTGGTGGGTGGTAATTAATTTGTATTTCTTCATATTATCTTGCAGTTACTAACCGAGGAAAGGCACAGAAAACACCAACACATACTCAAAGAATACCGTTCAAAGGCAGAGTATTACCTCTGTGCCTGCCTTCGCAAAAACAATGTGACTAACGTGCACCGGACCCCAGGCGGCTTACTTTACATTCGGCAATGGAACAACATGCAATACGTATCAACAGCAGCATTTCTTCTCACAACTTACTCTGACTATCTCCAAGCCTCTAATCAACGGCTGCAATGCGATCAAGGTACACTGGAGCCATCAGATATTTTCAAGTTTGCCAAATCACAAGTTGACTACATATTGGGTTCTAATCCTACGGGAATGAGCTACTTAGTTGGATATGGTTCAAAATACCCTCAAGCGGTTCACCACAGAGGAGCATCTATTGAATCATACAAAAGGCACAAGGGTTTCATTGGATGCACGCAGGGATATGATATTGGGTACAGTCGACAAGGTCCAAATCCTAATGTTCTGGCCGGTGCTTTAGTTGGTGGTCCTGACATCAAGGATCAGTTTAGGGATGAAAGGGAAAACTACATGCAAACCGAGGCCTGCATTTATAACACTGCGACTCTTGTAGGTGTTTTTGCTAAATTGCATTGGCTGGGAAAGGATTATTAGTTTGCTAATCCATCAATAATGTTAGTTGATTCTAGATAACAGAAATTAATTATATAAATTATCGTGCCTTTGATAAGAGTGAACCACAGGAAGATTTTGGTTGTCATGCATGCACATGGCAGTCTTAAATTCTGATTCAAGGTTGGCACAATAGTTTTAGATATTGATAGAGATTCCAAAATACCAGTTGGATTGGTTTAAACCATAGTTTTAAATAGCGGTTGCGATTGAAAAAAAGGTACGATTACGATCGCGGTTCGCAGACTTATCGCAATATTAAAATAACGATCGCAAGCAACCGAAATCATGAATACATTAGCAATTGTTAATAAATTTATTCTAATTCATATATTTTTATAGATAATTTAAGCATAATAATAAGTAATAACATCTCTATTAGTTTAATATCATATAACAATAGTTGAATTTATTACAAAAAAAATAGTTAATAACACTTTTAATAGATAAATATCACAAAAAAAATAATAAAATACATTACTATTTCAATAAATACATTACAAAATATTTATCTTTAAAATAATCTTCATGGTGAATCATAATAAAAATTATCATTTTGTTGTTGATGTTGTGATTCTTGTCCATCCAAATTACAACAAAAACTAGTTTTGAAAACAAATTAGAAAATAATATAAAATTAAAAAAATAATAAGTTTTTTTAAAAAATAAAGACCATCTAATTTATTTTATTGAACTAAAAGGTCTAATTTATAATTTATTTAATTAAAGTAGCATTTGCTTTGCAACTTTTGAATTTGTCCATGCAAGAAAGCCAAAGTAGAATAATAAAATATTAAATAATATATTAGTCTTTTCAGCTTTTGATAAATGAATTAATTAGCTTTTAATTTTTTAAAAACTAATTATTTAACTATTTAATCAGTATTTATTATGCTTAATGTGTTATATTTTATTCTATAAAATATTATTTTCATCAATCTGTTTCATGGTATAAATTCATTTTTTCCATTTCCTATTTTTTTTAAAAAAAAGAAAATTAAATTAAAAAAATATAAAATGAAAAAAAAATAATTGATTTTTGAAATAGAAGCACTAACTAAATTATTTTTTTCAAAATAAGAGGACTAATCTATGATTTATTCAATCAAAACCTATAAATGCAAGTATTTGATATTAAAACCATCGATCCATCACGTGATCTCTTTCTTTTCAAAATAAAAGGTTTTTTTCTTTTTTGAGTTCATGTCTCTTCTTCATCTTATTATCTACTTCTTTATCACCCAAACTTCTCTCGCTCTTTGCCTCTCGTCCATGCATCTCTCGCCTCTCATTCTTTTTGTCTCTTGTCTTTGCATCTCTCGCTCTCATCCTCTCTCGCTTGTCTTTTGTCTCTCGCCTCTTTTGTCTTCCGCCTCTCTGCCTCTCATCACTCGTGAATTTCATCGGCTGAAATTCTAGCTTTTTTTATAACTCCATTATATAACGATAACATCGCTATTTATCGTTATTCATGTGAAACGATATCGAGGCACTCATAATGTCGAATAATGATAATGGGGAGCCTCGTTATTGTTATATAACAATTATTTTTTAAAACCATGGTTTAAGCTCTTTTTTTTTATTATTCATGAGTAAGCGAGCTATAAACAAATTATTTTCTATTACGCATTCCTCAAGTTACAACTCCACAAATGCCTTCTAATAGGAGGCTAATACAACCTATTGAGATATTGGAAAAATAAGAGACTCTTAATGAAAGGGAACATGCATGAAAAGCAAGCTAATGAGCTATGTGATGTAGCAAAAACTCACTAAATAGAAGATAATTATCATTAATCTGAAATTCGGATGTCGATCTACTATAACCTCGTTGAATTGCACACAAATATCAAGAAATAGGCTTTAATTTTATTGATTCAAAGAATACCAAAAATTAGGATAAACTAAGATACTCTTTTACAAAACTTTATTAGCTATCAAAAGTGGCATTTTTCAGCCTCAAAGTCATACATAAATGGTAAATTTTTAGCTAAAACCCTCAAGCAATTTAAAAAGAAAACAAACATTAAAATCTAAAAACATTAAGAAAAAATCTTGAAAAATAGTAAAAGTTGATTTTGAGGGCCTGAAGACTTTTTTTTTTCCAAATCACCCTTATATCATAGGTAAAGCCAATGAGTTTTTGGTCGTTGGCCCATTTGGTATCGAACTAGATCCAAAAAATCTCAAAATTAGGTTGACAACTTTTATTCGGTTTTTATCGTGCTCATAATATTCCATGAATTCCAAGGCCCATTGGTCCGCATCACTATGCCTCCTTATAATGTAAAATAGATGACTATAATTTTCTCCGTTAACATCATGAAAATGCAATTATTAAACAGGCACCATAAAGTTAGCTTCTAAAAAACTTGTTTATAACCCAAAATCCATGTCATCTTCAAACCGGAAAGGATGTCCCAAAGATCCGCACACATAACGAAACAAACACCAATTTAATAAGAGAAACTATATATCCGAATACTAGCATCATCCTTAAGAGCTCCCCAATTGTAGAAGTGCCAACTAAACTATTCAAGGTTCCATCAATCTTAAGTTCAACCCAACTAGATGGTGGTTTCTAGCGACCTATAAGAGCTTCACATTTAAAGCTCTTTGGTTTCTCTAGAAGGGACACCATCTCGATACAAGATGTAATTTGATTAGTGAAGGAGAAAACAATATCCATTGGCTTACAAAGAGGTACAAAACCTTCTTCAAATAAACCTTTATTTTGCTAAGACCACAAGAACCAATAACAAGTACCAAACCATATGCTTCATAAGACAACTCCGGATGTTGGTGTCTAAGAGACCTCAAGGTAAGCTAGAACCAATATCTAAGATTGAGATCAAATAAATTATAGATTATCTAGGTTACCCCGTATGAATTCCAAATGGAACTAGTAGATAAAGAATCTTTGAGTACATGGAGGATAGATTCGGAACTAGCTTGACACTAAGGATAAGAGGCATAAGATGAGAGACTCTTATGGACACATTGTTCATTAGTGAGCAGATTACGATGATTCATGATTCACCAATCATAAAAATGATTTAATTCATTTAAGAGCCTTCCATTGCCATAGTAAACCCCATTTTTAATTGAACCGATTGTGACCGAAGGTATTAAGAAAGTATAGGTTGACATGCTATATGATCGTGTAAAAGATTACATTACTCGTTTCTAGATATTAATGGTAACATGTCGACTGGAGTAATACAATTGGCATGATTTCTTACAAGACCTAAGTGAGGAACCTAAGAATTAGACCGAAACTTAATACGGTTGTCATCCCGAATGGATTAACAAATACAACCACATACTTTATTTTACACCCATTGAAGGCATCTTTATCAATTAGAAGGGCCCATACACAATATGGAGCCTAGTTTTTATTAAGTGTAATTTTATATTTATTGCATAAAAATTGTGCCTAAAGAAAAGAATTGTTAAAATGATCTCCTATCCAAGCTTCATAAGTAGAGTATTATTGACATCGACTAGCCTTCTCAATCCAAGTCCAACCTTCTTCTTTAGTTGGCAAACATTATATGAGGAGGTAAAAAATAAATTTTGGCATCCATCAAAACTACCTCGTACAAAGTTGTAGCATTGTTTCTCAATGGAAGTAACAATAGCAACATGCGATCTAATGGTTTGCATGTTGTAAATTGGAATAGCTAATAAAACAGATTGGATCATGGTGATCCTACCTATAAAGGAGATCGATCGTGCTTGCCAGCCTAGTAATCTCTTGCTTACCTTATCGACTACATACTTGTAAAACATTCTTGTTTTTACCACACTCACTTTCAAACCGGAGATGAAGTAGAATTTATGAAGTACATCTATAATTACTCATAATTGTTCGGTCTCGACTTCAGCATATAGAATCAAGTCATAAGTAAAAACAAAATATGGAAAATAGGTGGCCCATCTCAAAAGCCTTACTAACCATTTTGGTATAGTCAATTGCTTACACACAGAGCCAAACTTTAAATTTTAGCCTTCGAACTCTAAGAAAATATTCCCTCTTTCATATTGCATCACCAAAAATAAAATCACAAACCAACATCCATGATCAAACTTTCAAACATACTCAACTACGACCATGTTGCCTTATTCTAATTTCAAGAATTTTGAGATTTTCCTAGCCCTCATAATATTCAAGAAATATTTCTCAATAAAGACTTCCTTGAATTGTGCATATGTGATGTGAGGCACATCTAAGAAAACTTAAGCCAATTCCCATCAAATTTAAGCATCACCAATTAACATAAAAATGGCATAAGCCATCTTATCTTAATCTTCCATAGCCATATGATCAAAGATCATCTCTATGGATTTCAGCCACTCCTCAATAGCCATAGGGTTTGCCTTACCTAAAAATTCTTTTGAATTAAATATCCAAAATCATTCCACCATATCAACATGTTATCGTGGCTTTACAACCACAAGGTTTTATTGCTGCATATTCAGCAACCATTGTATCTATTCCATAAGTCATTATTGCTATTGATACATCATTTTGTGTTATTATCTTAGCAAAATTATCAATCCATGTTCTCAATTCGAAGTCCTCCTACTCGAACCTACTCCACTATTTTATTCCTCTTACTTGGACCAATTGAGGGGTTGAGAGGAAAGTTTTGGATGTAGTAAAGGGGATGAATTCTTTTAATGCTCTAAGTTGGGATGGTTTCATAGGACATTTTTTTATCAAGGATCTTGGGATATGATCTCGTTTAGATGTTATTATAGCTATTTAGGACATTTTCAAATGAGTCCATCTTCCAAGAGGTATGCCTTCTACTATCTTGGTTTTGATTTCAAAAGTTGATAATCCAATGGGGCTAAGTGATTTACATCTCGTTAGTTTATCAACTTTCGGATGTAAGATAATTTCAAAAATACTTGCCACTAGGTTGAGTATGGTGTTACCAAGTTTGATAGACTATGAATAAGTCTGTTTTTGTAAA